GTGCAAATGTTCTACTATTCGGATTTATGACTGCCCCGTCTGGTCAGTTTGAAATTCTTTAGTGTTTTTGCAGAATTCAAACAGAGACTGCCTTGAGGATTTGTTAATTATTGTAAACCCAACCATGTTTACCGGCAGACCAAGATATTATGCAGCGAAAATATCTGTTTGCATCTCTGAAAAGGTCGTAATCCATTTTTCACAGAGTACTGGTGTGGCTTCATAGAAACATTCACAGAGACTTTGTTGTGCTCAGCAGCATTTCATAGCTCGTCTGTTTCTGACCTTAGGCTCCTTCCTGCTATAACTCTCTTCATTATGATCTTAATGGACCAATCAGCAGCATGCAGGCCAAAGGCACATGTCTCTTCACATTTTTCTTCACAGCTTCACTGCTATCTTTTTATTCCTTTGCCCTTTTTCCAATTCATGCTAGCTGTATGTCAATTGAATCCTTTTTATTTTAGCTGGCTGGTTTCTACTGTCCACAATGTATTGAGAGAATGTCTAATGACAGCAGGAAGGATTGCAGGTCTTTTCATCAAGGGTGTGTTGTACACCTCACATAGTGCATTTTGTTTATGTATGCAAATCTACATGAATAGCAAAGTGTTAAAGGAGCTTAACCAAACAAGTGTCTTTCTAGGCTTAAATGAACTGGCACTGAAATTGAAGGTTAAAAATTTGATCTTATGGAAGCAACAGAAAATAACAACTAGGTGCTGGCCTTGAATCAAAAGCTGTCTTCTTTTCTGTTAGAAAACAAATGTGTGGTTTCAGAAAAAAGGGTCATGGTATTTAGGGAATTAGGACTTGCATTAAAGCAATAACATACACAAAACACTCTGGAAAGGAGTGAGTAGAGTACAATTTACAAGGCAGGACTAAGAGAGTCATAGGAAAGTGGTTAGCACCAATAAGATAAATATGGACACAAAAGAAATGTCTTAGCAGTGTAAACGCAGCTTAAACACATCTATCGAAACAGTCTGCCAAGCTCAAGATTACCAGCCTGCTGCAGCTGTGCATCAAAGTAAAGCATATCATTGTTGGTTGTTTCCTACCAATAACTGTACCATAGATTTTTGTCTGCCATCATCAGTAGCCATGCTAACTAGTAAGTGGGTTCACAGTGAGTTCCACCGTGGGGCAGGGGTTGTGGAATGAGTGCTGTAGCACAGCGGAGAGTAGGGAGGAGGGACCTGTAACGAGTGCTTGTTAAAATTTTCATACTATGTCCAAGGTTTGCTCAAAAACCCTGCTGCAGCTTTTTGTCCAACCGAGATTATGACAGTTTCCAAATGTATAAGCAAACATCATTATAGACAAATGTCTTGCTGATAAATCAATAACATCAGCTTTTGCTTACATTGAATAAGTCAAATATTACTTTTAACTAATGGGCAATTGGGTATTTTTTTTTTATATATTCCTTTCCAAACATATATCTGTGCAATTTACTAATTTCGTTCTACTTTGTTAGTTTATCTGTTGATAATTAAAAATTGAATAAACATGCTTAAACTTTATCATGACTGTTGAACTACCAGAAGAGACTGCAGTATGTTTTCCATTTTGAGCTGCATTTCTTTTCACACTATTTTTACTCATAGGCATATATGATAAAACTTTGGATATTTACGCAAGTAGTTTTTGTGTCTCTGTGACAGTGCTAAATATATATGGGAAGTTATGCAAAACAGGATCTATAGGGGTGATGGATGTTGGGTCAACTAACACATCATCCTCAAAACTCCAGATAGTAACCTATTTTAACTCTCAGTCCTGCCACTCTGCACTCTAGTACATGTTACAGTCAGCAAATATAAGTGCAAATGTCAGCATGTTTATTTATTCATTATGCAACAAAACCCCTTAGCCTCAACATATACAGTTATCATCCCTACCTTGGATTTTCAGAAATATAACATCAAAACCAAACCCATCCTGGCTTACCCCCTATAGATGAAGTACAGTTAGTGGCAGCTCTTTAAAAAAAAAAAATGTACCTATTCATGATTTATTTGAAGGCCAATGTCAGCAAAAGATAAAAGGTTAAACATCCATTAAAATCGTTTTCCCTATTAGAATTTAGCCACAGTGTTCTTCAAATAAAAACGAACAGAAAACAACCCCCCAAAAATTTCTGAAGGAGTTCGGAAAAAAGAACATTGTTTGTACAGCTACATCTGTACATTTCCATTTACAGATAATTAGGTAATGGCAAGGAAAATAATTGCAAAATACAACCTTATAAAAAGAAGAAAACTAGTGTTTTTTCTGTCTCATTAGAATCAGACCTTTTTTTAGACATTGGATTTATAACACTGATTTTTTTTTTTTTTTTTACGTGTCCGATTATCTTTTCTGTTGTTTTACTTTAAATTCAGGACCAAAAAATGTTGCCTGTAAACATTTCACTACAGAAATTCACATATTAAAAAAATCAGCTGCAAAAATTTGACAACAGAAATTCAACTAAAAAGTTCAAATACAAAAATGTATCCAGCAGAAATTGAAATGCAAAAATTGAGATGCCAAAATGTGTTGAGCTTTTGATGATTGTGCACTCACACTGAATGCATTTTGGGCATCAAAAACGCTTAAACGCCGAAATATGGAAACTAAGTAAAGTTGCTTTGATGCTTCGACACTCTGGATGCTCAGTGCTCTGGTTGTTAATCTGCTCTGTTCTGTAGCTACAAGCTAAAAACATCATCTGTGTAGTCAGTTCATCAGGATTATGATCCTACTAAAATATACAGTTCTTATTCGGAGTGTGATGACTCGATCAGTCCCAGAAGCACGATCCGTACCATCAGCTCATTTGTGCATGCGCAACCACAAATACATTCGGGTTGCCCTCAATTTTATTTTGCCCTATCTGTACAGGAAATAAATCCTACACTACTTCCAAGAGCTAACTTTTCCGGCTTTGGATTTAAATATAAATCTAGTCTTTTTGAGCTTTATGTTTTCCTTTCGTGTTACCCTGAGCTTGTCTGATGATGACACACAAGCAGTTCAACAGAGAATATGTAAAAAGCATCAAAATTATCTCAGAAAAAATTTTTTTTTGAAAGGTATGTATTAGCGTTCTTTAGTGAGTTAAGGAGACGGATCGGGAAGTGACACGGAGCGCCAGACCTCCAGCATACCGCCGCCCGACAGCGCTGGAATATCTGCCTCTTTTGGCGGCTTGAAGTGAATATAAAGAGTAGATTTTGACTTTTTTATTTTTGACATAGTTAATAAAAAATTTTTAGTGCAGCAATAATGATCAGAATAACCCTCTTTTCCTTCTAGATAACAATAAGTTCTTCCTCCTTTTTTTAAATAATTTTTTCTTTAAATCTTTGTTGTTTACCTTCCTTTAGACAGCTCTGCAGAATCTATCACAGCTTGCATGTAGTGTCTATCTCCCCCCAAAAACTCCGGATCCTTTTTTCTGATTGGTTGATGCTTGGACTTCCAGCGGCAAGAGTAAAAAATCTTTGAAATCCAGTGTCAAACGCTCAGATACTTGGATGTTTGGACGTCAGAACGCTCAGGTGCCAGATCGCTTCGATACACTGATTTTCAGATGCCTCTCGACCACTCCCCCATGAACTTTGTATGTAAATCAGATGCTCTGATGCCCAAAACACGTCCGGTGTGAACACACAATTAGGCCGAACCAAGATTAAGTCAAGCAGCTAAAGGCCTCTTGACTTTATTACTGTTACAGAGCATGTGGGATTTCGAGGTAACCGCCCCGCTCTGTTCTAGACCACCTACGGAAAGCAAACCTTGAAGCCACCATGGTTCCTTCCATTTTACATGACTGGGCAAGTGGTCCGCATGTCGTCCATGAGCGGGGCGGAGAGGTGACCGAGGATGTGGAATCTGAGGCTTAACTGTGGCTTCTCTTGGTTCTCCAGCATCCTGTCCTCTCTCTTCTCAGTAGGAAGATATTTGTTCCTACCAGTAGGCAGAAATATCTGGTGTCTTGCATCTTTTTAAGATGTTTCTGCTTCCATACACTTGAAAAGTGTGGCTGAATTGCCTCTTCTGTTTGCAATCAGTTTGTCCAGATCTGCTTGTTAATGATCTGATTCTTTGACCGATGTGTGTTAAAGCAAAGATATATCCAAAACCTAAAGGACAACGGCCCCCTTAATAGCTAATAGTGCACTTCAACTCTAAAAGCTACATGAGGAAAAACAATATAGAGCATGTATTTGCATAAAATAACACTTGCTAAACCCAGCTTATTACCGTTCTCTAAGAAAAAATAGGCCTTTTACTGTCATCAGCAGCTAATGTGATGGATGACAGCAGGGAATTAAATTTACCAGATCTAAGCTAAACTGGATGCAAAGTTTTCTTCACAGTTCTTTCTTCGTCTTCATCATCATAGCTGTTTCTATTGTCTCTAGTGTTTATCAGTAATGCCACAGATAAAAAACAAAAACAATGCAGCCTCCAAGTTATATCTGAAGACAGCTAGTAGATGCTCCACCACATCAGCTAACTCATACTGTTTGTCACGTGACCAAATTAGTGTATTTGAATTTGCTATTAGTCGATTGACTCTAAATTGCTTTGGCTCAAGTCATCAAAACGTCCACACTTTTTGGCATCGGAATTTTTGTACTTGAATTTTAGCTGGTGAATTTTTTTTTTTATTAATTTCTGCTGTAAAATTTTTGCATCTGGATACCGGCTGTTACATTTCTGCAGCTGTTTTTTTTATTTGTTAATTACTGCAGTGGAATTTTACAGGCATGTTTTCTTGCTGGTGAATTTAAAGTGAAACAAATTCAAAAACAAAATTGCACAGGTTAAAAATTCTCATAAATTCAATGTCTAAAAAAGATCATATTCCTGTTTAACTTCCATAAAAAAGGGCTACTCCCATTTATTTCTACACTGGATCAGTTTGTGTTAAAAAAGCAATAGATATATGTGTTCAATAAAATACTGCAACAAACACCATCCCTTTTCTTTTATTTACTTAGGTTCCTTGCAGGGGGAACACCAGAGGAAGCTATACAAGGAGCTGCTGGCCAACTATAATCGACTGGAAAGACCGGTTATTAATGATTCAGCTCCTATTCAGGTGGAGCTGGGCCTCACTCTCCTACAGATTATAGATGTGGTGAGAATTTATTTTTTTACATGTGTTGATGTGTGAGACAATGTTGTGGGTTTTGGTTGGTTTAAATCTAAAGTGAAAATTTTTTTAATGGCTACATAATTTCTCACAAAAACCTACTGTGTTTACACCTACTAATGTATTACTTATGGCAACCTAAAAAATCAAATTACAAATTGAAGTATAGTTGTTTTTTTTAAGTTTAATGATTCTTAATGATTACACTACTATATTTATAATATATGATCATAAGATTAGAATTAGTTTAGAAATATGCTGAATGCAAAAATAATAAATCCCTATTACACATTTTATAAACTGCTATAATGGGAGTACAGAGGAATGTTTCTTTGTCAAGCATTGATAGTAGAATATTAGCAGAGAGCCAGAATTGTTAGCTGAATAAAAAAATAAAATACTGGCCTATAGATATTTTTATCATTTTTAAACCAGAATAACATAATAAATATGAATCCAAATTAACAACACAATCAAAAACCTTTCATTGTGTTTAGTTATTTACTTCAAGTATGATTCAGAATCATAGATTCAATGCTTGAAAAAAGCATTTAGGAATTTTACAATAGTTAATTTATGATAGTAATCTATGCTTTAGCTTCAGCCTTAAACATGAAAATTTTTATTTTCAGAATTGGTTTGTTTTTATTATTAAAATAGGTCTGAAATTCTGCCTTAAAAGTTGTCTATCCTTTTTTTCTTTGCCTTTTCGGTTCCTCGAGATTAATGTTTGTCTCAGTTAAAACACACATTGTTATACATTACTAATCAAATTTGCACTCAGTAACAGAATATAATGTCTAATCTGTCATTTTGGCCATATTTATCTCCACAATGGAGAGACAAAACTGGCTTCTACACTGTTAAAAAATTATATTATATATGTTTTTAATTGTTAACTTTTCTGTATGTGATTAAAATCCAAGTGAGGAGAGAGGCACAGATATTCTAATGATTCACCAGTACTAAGTCAGATATGCTTGTGTTACAGACTAAAGCTCCCATGCCTGCATAGATGCAGACAGCTGTCACCAGGAATTTTTCCTTTTAGATGAATCGTTGCAGCTCCTCTCTCTCTCAAATACTCCTGTACCTAAAGTTTTTTTCTAAACATGTCCTAGTTTGCAGCATCTGTTTAACCTAAAAAATAACTCTTGTTAATTTTGCCTTAGAAGGCTGAACTCAGGTCTCCAGATTAACTCTTGGACAGCTAATTCGCTTTAGCCTTGAGAAATCTGGCCTCATGAAGAATAAATATGATACGAATATATCTACTATATATAAGAGGTTAACTGCTCATAGTCCCAGCTGCTCACTTTATAAAAATGAGCTATAATTTACAATGTGAAGGAATAAAGTTATATGCAGTAAAATGTAGAAAAGTGGGAATGTGTTGACTTCTATGTAAGATTTTATGTGTTAAACGTACAAGTACAGCATTTTATTTGTGTTTTTTATGTCTGAAACTTTGTGTATTGATGGAAAAATGTTGAATAGTACTTAATGATGGCTTTAGTTTCTAGTGTTAAGCTACAGTGGAGACAGCTGTTATAGTTCATACTTACTGCTCAGATCCTTTGGAACCAGCAGTATTTTGGTTCTTTCTTTTAATATCCCTTGTTAATCGATTTTCTTTTGAAGACCAAAAAGTCTTTTCACTAACTTGCTGAAGATAGTTTTTCTTGGTTCACTTGATTGTTGATAAACCACATATTTATTTTCCTGTCTCTTTCATGTATCTGTGTGCAGGATGAGAAAAACCAAGTGCTAATGACCAATGCATGGCTGCAGCTGGTGAGTCAAGCTTTCCAGGGGACAGATTATTAGTAATCAAATGTTCTTCTCTTACATTTTGTGCTACAATTATTTTAAAGGCTTTGTTTGTTACTGGTATGACTGCTACATCATGAAGAGCAAGTTGGTGAAATCTAATTGTGCTCTTTCGGATATTTGTTCTGCTTGATTCTTTAAAAAGAACAGGATTGAGGGTTGTACTGTGTACATCATTTATAAACTTTCAGTAAAAGCTCCTCTGTTGTTCTCAGTACTGGACAGATGTCTACCTGAGCTGGAATCCAGAGAATTACCCCGGTGTCCAGAACCTCAGATTCCCTTCAGACCAGATATGGACGCCTGACATTCTTCTTTACAACAGGTCAGACTGTACTCTCTGATAAATCTTTTTTTGCAAGTTTTTTTTTTTTATTTTATTTAGAAAGATAATTAGAATTGCTTGCTATTCGTTTATAAACAAATGTGAAACTCAAAACCTCAGAATTTACTAAACCATGATAACAAGAACTTGTTTTTTTTTTATTGGTTTAATTTACGATTAGATGTGCAATGCAATATATTTACAAAAGAGAATCTTGGTAGGTAAAGAGTAATTTTGTCCTGGAGCATTAGCTACTCAATGAGTGAGCTCAGCACCACATCATCATTGTCAGGGGCGTGCACACATAGACACTAGGTGGTGCTAAAGCACTAGGAAGTTTGCCCTCTATCAAAGAAAATGCCCTTTTGAAACTCGTTTTTTTTTTTTATTATTATTAATATTATTAAGATTTTACTGAAGTCGGTTTTGAAATGATCTTTTGAAAACCTGAGCCATTAAAAACGACTGAAACAATGCCCCGAAATGACCGACCTACTTGCGCACAAACGACCAGCCTCTCTCTCTTCCTTTGTCACGTGAACGCGCTCGGTCGCCCGCAGGGCATGCCAGATGCGCAGCATCATAGCAGTTTTCAGATAGCAGGAACGGTCGCTGACAGGCTGCTTCTCCCGTGCCCCATTAGCCAGGTAATATACAGATCAAGCAGAATCATTTTGTTGTGCATTAAAATGTCTCATTCAGCAGCACCAAACAAGCATTTTGCCGACTGGTCACCAGATAAACTAGTTGTCTCCTTGTTAGATGCTATTTTACTTTTTATATTTTGTATCCATATTTTTTATCTTAAGTGTATACATTAGTCTATTTTATTGCATGACGTATATCCACAGTTTTTAGATATTTTTATAATTTTATTTACCTATTCCATATTATATGTTTCATGTTGCACGATTGTACCACAAAAAAATTCCTAGTTTGTGAACTCTTCACTAACAATGGCAATAAACCTGATTCTGATTCTGAAAGTTTTACACTGTAGCCCAAGTCAATGACAGATAACGTGAGGACGACCACATAGGCTACAAATAATTTTGGTAGAGTTTGCAATTGCAAATACGGAAGAGGATTAGGGCCACTGAAAAAAAAAATAAGTTAACTGATTTTTAAATTTTATTTCAGTTTAGTATGGGAAAAAAGTCAGAATGTACAAATCTATGTGTTAAGACAAATGTTTTCTGTTGTATAGGTTTTGTTAGGCAACATAAATTAACACATTTTGGTCTCTTTATTGTCTTAATTGTATATTGATTTAATAATTGCAGCACAATGCCAAGAAAGGAGGGTTAATCATATTGAAAAATCTTAAAAGCTGTTCACATTTTATTTTTAAGTGGTTTGTGCAGCAGGTTTTAAAATAGCTATTATTTTGTAGGCTACCATAAGTCATATCCACGTGACAAGACTTCCAGTCATGTTGCCCTAATAGCCCATTATTTAAACTAATGTGGCATATTTGTTAAAGCTATTATTATTATTATTATTATCATTATTATCATTATTATTGTCATGATGGTTATTATTAATATATTGTAGCCAGTCACAGCAGGGAAGCTCTATACCATCAACATATAACAGGACAGGAGATGAGGAAGAGTTCAGGGAAGACACAGAGACAGAAAAAGACCAGGATGAGGGAGAACAGATGGGTGAGGGAGAACAGGGAGATGAGCCAGATGAAAGAAGTACGCTTTAGTCTGTTCTGTTGGTGATGTGACTTTTTTCCATTGAAAACTCACGTTTAGAGAATGTTACAAATAAAAGTCAAATTTCATTCAACATGCGTTTATTTTTTTTTTATAATTAAGTGTTACACGTGCGCTAAAAAGTGCCCTCCCCCCCTCCTGAGCACCTGCCCCCGAAAATGTCTGTGCACGCCTCTGATCATTGTCTACTATGTGATTTAATATGAGGAGATTTGGGGTCCGTTTCGTGAAGCAGGTTAACAGAAAACTCTAAGTTGTCTAAACCTGAAAACAGAGAAAATCTGACTTTTCCGTTTCACAAAGAGAGTTTATTCAACCTCCGTTTCAGGCACCATAGTAACATTCTCCCAAAGGTAACCTGGTCGGTAGCAGGATGTTTTCAGTAAACTCAGAGCGTCCTCTGTCTCTGCTCTCCTTACAGAATCATGCTGTTTATTTCCTGATAGAGTATGATTTTTGTTGTAGTTTTGTGCATAAAAAATATATACATATCATTCACAAGGTCTGTTAGACACATTAGGTTTTAAAACAAACATTGCATGTCAGTTTGACAAGGATCTTATTAAGGAATGATCAGCATTTTTTCACAGAGAATTAAATTGTATCGGGAGAGGATTCTACAACTCAGTTGACAGGGCATGAGATTACTTGTTTTTGGTTTGTTTAAAATTAGCGAGATGCGGATAATTTTATTTTTATTTGGTTATATTTTCAGTATATGAAGAACTACTGAAATTATTTTCTGAATACACGTAAATAGATTTATTGATTCAGCTGGGGAAGAGGAATTACGTTAGGATTAGGATTCACTCGATGATAACAACCTAATGAGACTACTGGCACAATCAGATGGCATTCTATGGGACTGATAGCAGCTTATAACAGTCATTTTTTTGGGACGATAACATCCGATGCGTGGCTGCAAACAGCCACTTTACTGTGTAAAAGGAGACTGAATCAACATCAGGAGGGAAGCATGAGATGAACCACAGTTTCTATATATTAGAACAATGTTTTTATTGCTCATCCTCACTCATAATGTTTTCACGGTAACAACAATGATGGCAAGCCATTTTGTATGTACTAGTTTTACTGAATGTGTATTGCTAATTTCTGAAAAAAAAATGTTTTCTTTGTCTAAATGACCATTTCAAAAAAGATGATATTCTTCACATCTAGAATAAACATTCTGGATGTCTAGAAATTGATTTCAGACCTCCATAAAGCTCTCGATTTACCGGTCGATCTACGTTCCTACCCTCATCTATGGTCATGAACTCTGGGTCATGACCGAAAGAACGAGATCGCGGATACAAGCGGCCGAAATGGGTTTCCTCCGTAGGGTGGCTGGGCTCTCCCTTAGAGATAGGGTGAAAAGCTCGGTTGTCCGGGAGGGACTCGGAGTAGAGCCGCTGCTCCTCCACATCGAGAGGAGCCAGTTGAGGTGGCTTGGGCATCTGTTTAGGATGCCTCCTGGACGCCTCCCTGGTGAGGTGTTCCGGGCACGTCCCACCGGGGGGAGGCCCCGGGGAAGACCCAGGACACGCTGGAGAGACTATGTTTCTCTGCTGGCCTGGGAACGCCTTGGCGTTCCTCCTGAAGAGCTGGAAGAAGTGGCTGGGGAGAGGGAAGTCTGGGCCTCCCTTCTTAAGCTGCTGCCCCCGCGACCCGACCCCGGATAAGCGGAGGAAGATGGATGGATGGACCTCCATATTCCAAATATTAATGGTCAGAACTTGTATTATTTTAACTATGAAAAATTTTTTTCAGATATCATAAATACATTTTAGTCAAGCTGATAAATGTCAGAACAGCCACTTAAAATGTGTAAAAATTTCTAGGTATATAAAACTTAATTCTTACTAGTGTAAATTTTTTTTTTTTTTTACTAAAATTCTGTTTCTGCTACAAAAATATAATTTGGAAAATATATTATTAGAGTTAGGTCCAGGAGTGTAATTTTGATCAGTAAGAATCTTATTTAAGAGATCTACAAATGGAACTACAGAGAGGACAGCTTTTTAAATAAATGTGAAAACGGCCTTCCTACTTTATATAAACTTACACAGTAACTGGAGCAACAATCTTCTCCTTTGGTACTTTCCTCTCCTTTGTAGCTGCTGGGCTGTTTCTCTGTCTTTTAAAACATTCTCCTTTTTTATTTTATTTTTTGCATTTCTGCACTAAAATCTCTAGTTCCAGTGGGGTTAAATAGGCACTTCCTGTTGCCTGTTGTTATGGTGACTTGTCAAATTGATGCTCCACTGATAATGGCTTTTCATACTTTTTGCACACACGTTTAACTCTGTGTGGACCTAGTTAAAGTTGATTTAACTAATTGATAGCAGCCGTTGTGAAACCAAACACGGAGTTTTGGTTAGATCAAGTTAGAGCGGATTTAAGTATGAATTTGAATAAACCTGCTTCATGAAATGGACCCATGGAAACTGTGCAGCTTCCTGTCCACCGTCTACGTAGTGTTTGGCATTAGCATGGTGCTATCTGCATAAAATGTTAGTTCTTAATCAATTGAACGAGTTTGAAATTATTGACTAGTTCACCTGTACATTTTCCACTTTTTCACTTTGTTTAATGAACCCCCCCCCCAAGTTTAGTATCCAGAGTTTAGGTCTGAAGGGAGGATTGATTATTAAAACACTGAGAAATATGGCAGCAAGTAGCATCTTGTAAATATATAGAACATTTCTAAGTCTTACTTTTATGAAAATAGCACATGCACAGAAATGTTCTTTGTGTGTGACTTATTTTCCTTTGAAAAAAAGGAATAAAGAGAAAACAATCAGCAATTTGAAAATATAAATTGTTTTAAGATCCTCTTATATGCTTTGATAGAGCATATTACCATAATTAGCATTTAAATAAATGCATTTTTTTTAATAACCCTAAAATAAATTTCATTCATTACAGTTCCTAGGCATCAAAACCAGAATGATAGGCTCTACGTATAAAGTCTGTATTTCCCCCAGTAAACACAAAAACACTCCTCCATGTCCATTTCATTGACAAAACAAAGGTTGGGAGGTATTAATCCACATTTAAAAAGCAAAGCTTTAAAACCTATGAGGATTACAAGCTATAATCTCTCTCTTTACACCCCCCTCTCATCCCCATTGCTCCCTTTTACCACGAGCCCTCCTTTCCGACTCTTGCCTTCCTTCCCTATGATCTCTCTTTTCATCATAATCTATTTTTATCTCCCTCCTTCTCTTTTTTTAATAAATCACCCTCTCGCTATGATTCACTCCATTCTATCAG